AGCGGTTCCCACACCCACCAGCACCTTGCCCAGGAATCCCAGGATCCAGCGGGGTCCATGCAATGAGGAGTTAGGGTCAGTAGGGGAGGTGGGGGGATGGGTACAGAGCATACAGCAGTGCTCACCGCATAAAGATCTCAGCAATCCGGAACCCGATCCCAGAGCCACCGCCTGTGATGAAAGCAACTTTGCCCCTGAGAAAAGAAAACAAAGGGCTCTTAAATATCACTGTTAACTGTGGGAGTGAGGGGAAGCCAACAGCTCTAGGAGGACTTTGACCCTCTGCACTGAGCACTTCTACCAAATTTGGATTAACAGGGAATGTGAACGATTTCTGAGAGAAAATTAAATGCTCCTTTTTAAATCAGCATTCCTAGGCTTTTGGGGTCTTTGGGAAAACCTATTTCAACCTATAATTTTTTATTTATATAGTTATCAGTTGAGTAACTTTTTCAAAACTTACAAGCCTTCCTCAGCCTGCCCTTCACTCCCACCCTCCCAGGATTAGCACTGGGAATACCGACCATTTCTGGCCAAGCCAAACAGATCGTGCTCTCTCCAATGCAAAGATCAAAACACCCTTGGGCGCCTCGAATCCCCGGTCCCACTCTCCGGGTGCCTCCAGTCCCCAGCCCTGCTGCCCCGGGAGCCCAGAGTCCATGGTCCCGCTCCCGAGGCAGCTCCCAACTCCGCCCTCACCGGAGCAGGTCGGGGCAAAAGAGGTGGTGGTATTCAGGGAGACAGTCGTCCTCTATAACATCGGGTGGCGGCTGGGCCATGGCGGTGGGTGCGGAGCGGGGGCGGCGAGGACAGCAAGGACCAGCGCTGAACTAGATCACCAGCCTCCGCCTCTGGAGTGGCACTCTCGCAACAGGAACCACTCTCGTGACGTTACCCGTAGACATCCGCTCCGCCCAGGGATCCAGAGGCCTAGTCCCTCGCTGCCGCCCAGATCACAGAGGCCTGACCCCTCTCAGGACGCCCTTCGCTTTTCCTAGGAGCCCCGCCCACCCCGCTAGCCCCGCCCACAGACCTCCCAGCTTCTTCCAGGACGTTCCGCTCACTGCGGTCGCACAGCCTGCTGGGACTGTGGCTGGTCAGTTTGGGAACTACGGGGGGTGCAGGTGAAGCCCTGCAGGCCTGTTTCTGCGGCTGAGACTGTGTGAGGGGCCTCTAAACCTTCCATAATATTAAGTCCTTTTCACAAGATTGGTCATTAGTGCCGTGGTCGGAGCCAGCCGGACACAACGGACGTTCAGTTTCAGGGTTGAGGTCAGGCTCGCAGGCTGGCCCGGGAGTGCATTTAAAACAGCTGGTTGCAAGGTGCTCAGCATTTAAATGCCCTTGTGCCTCCCGGACACCTCCCTTCCATAAATATCACAAAAGATGAGGGAAGGAGACTCAGCCCAGAAAAGCTATGGAAAACCAGAAAGGCTTTTGCCTCCTCCTGTAGCCAGCCCTGGTGCCAGTTCTTAAAATGACCCCTTTCGAGGCCGATAAAGGTCAGGGTACTTCATCCGTGCCCTCACATGCAAGCACAGGAAATGATAAATGCTGTGAATCTAGGCCCAGGGCATCCATCACCAAGAAGTCAAAAAAATAAAATGAAGACCAAGTCAGCCTCAGCAGATATAATGATGTGCAGTGTCCAGTACTTGTGACAAGTGAGTATGGTCACTTGGTGACCAGGGGTGAGGGGCGTGATGTAGTGTCAAGGTGAAAACAAGAAGACACCAGGCAGTTCAGTCAGCCTCAGCCACATGGCCACCTGAAACCGTGAAGAGGTGAGGGGGCTCTAATCACCAGGCTTTCTGCCCTGGGGGTGATCTCAGCTACCATATTCTTGCCACCCTCCAGCCTTTCCCAAGGCAGGCAGTTCCTCCTTCAGATCAAGAAGGGTTTGGGACAGCACCAGCTCCTGGGCCAGCTTAGATTTCCTCAAATTTCAGATGGAGGTCTCTGGACCTCTAAGTCATACATTCAGCAGTTATTGATTCTCTACTGATGTGTAAGATGGTAAGTTTCATCTCTACTCTCAAACTACTTACAGCTTTGCATGAAAGCCTCACTGCTACCTAGCTGTAATGAGTACTCCACTCCTATACACAGCACAGTGAATTTTAATGTCCCCCCCTGTCTTGGGGGAGGGAGGTCAAACTACCCACTTTTAGAGACACTGGAAAGGTTGTCTGGCACTTTGGTACAGAAAGGATTTGGTACAATCTCTTGATGGCTTCGGATACTAAAAGGCACACAAAGTTGTCTCAACTGCTGCGGGCTGGAGTGGGCTGAAGGTGGACAGGAAGGTGGTCTGGGACAGATCCTCAGAGCATGGGGGTGGGCTCAAGTTCTTGTGTATAGAGGTAGTAAGTCTTGGGTGGATGCTGGGATGGCTGAGAGCAGCTTGAGGTTCAGGCTGGGTTGAAGCTGCTGCAGTGGCCTTCGTTTGCCCAGTCCACCAGCTCATTGCTCTGAAACCACAGCTGGATCTCCCTCTGGGCCTCCGCCACGGAGTCACTGGCATGGATGACATTCCTGTGCCGGGTGATAGGAGGCAGAGATAAGACACAGGCTTCAACATGCACTCTGGGAGTCCTGGGAACAGTCTGCTGATCCCCTACGGCAGGGGTCCGAGCCCCCAGGCCGCAGAGCAGACCAGTACTGATCCGAAGCCTGTTAGGAACCGGACCACACAGCAGGTGAGTGGCGGGCAGGGGAGCAAGCGAAGCTTCATCTGTATTTGCAGCCCCTCTCCAACGCTAGCATCACTGCCTCAGATCATCAGGCATTAGATTCTCATAAAAGCACCCGGTCCCTGGTGCCAAAAATGTTAGGGACTGCTGCTCTACTATCTAGGGAGCAAGCTGGGTGATTGTATAGAGGGGAAAAGAAGAGGGGAGCTGGGAAACTAGGTTCCAGCCTGGCCGCAGCCTCTTATCCACAACCTCATGGACCAGCCCAGACTGTTACTAGAAGCCTACTTTTCCCACCAGTCCTCCCATACCGATCCCTTGGGGTGTCTGGCAAGATAGAATCAGATAACAGATAATGATGTCAGAGGACATAACATGCAGGGAATGCTTTATCATCTCCAGTGTGTGTGAAAAGACCTTGAAAAAATTGAACTAGCAAACAATAGGTGTGATGTCCCACCATTAAGTCTCTTCTGCCTTTACCTTTGCCCCAGCAAGACGATGAGCTGGCCTATCAGCTCCCAGTGGGTTAGTGTGTCAGGGCCCCTGTACCTGCTGATGTGGATGCTGAAGTCTCCTCGGATGGTGCCGGGGACAGCGACAGCCGAATCAGTGTGTCCTATCATGGCCCTCGAGGTGCAGACCACATTGGGGCCTTCCCAGACCTGCAGCAGAGAGATAAAGGTTGGGAGAAGTGGGGATCACCAAGGGCTCAGCAGCTCTGAGCTCAGTCCAGGGCCCTCCACCCCTTCTACCACCCCTGCCAGAACATACCATGGCCACCACAGGGCCGGAGCTCATGTAGCTGATGAGGGCTGGGTAGAAGGGCTTCCTCCGAAGGTCATGGTAGTGCTCAGCAAGGACATTCTCTGGTGCCTGGGTGGCATTGGGAGGGGTGAGAGGGGCCCCTGGAGAGGCAACCCCACTGGGCACTGGGGCAGTGACTTTACAGATAACACCTACATGGGCTGGCACACCAGCTACAGCAGTGCAGGGCAGATACCACCTCGCCTTCCTTCCCCCTCCTGCCAACACTAGGACACTCCCGAGGCAGGGCTGAGACATGAAGGGCTGAGGACCTGAGGTCTGTGAGAAGCCCTCCCCCTAATGCCCTTAGGGATACCCACAGTACTAGAGCCCTGGTACCTGTAGCATCTTCATCCCCACCAGCTTGAAGCCCCTCCTCTCAAAACGCCGAATCACATCCCCAACAAGCCTCCGCTGCACCCCATCTGGCTTCACAGCAACCAGGGTCCGTTCCTGGGTCCAGGCGGGCCCTCCTTTAGGAGAAGTGGAAAGGTCAGTGTGGCTGTCTCACTCTTTTACATCTCCGGACCTGAGTTCCCTGCCAGAGACCAGGTATCATCTGGGCTTCAGTGTCTGCCTCCAACCAGAGCAGCTCTGGAGGGAAGAAGTGTGGTGTCCACAGCCAAGAACTGTGCAGCATGGTGCTGCCTGTCAGGGACACCCAGGGCTGTGGGTTCCTGGGGGCTTCCAGCCTGTCAGAGGGGCCATTGCTCCTCCTAGGCAGTGGCAGACGTGCCCATGATAGAGCTGGTGTCCCCTGAGAAGCCATGTTAGAGAGCCAGGAAGCCCAGGGAGGCCTAGAGATGCTGTGCTGGAATGAAAACACAACTCTTGATCTCACTTTTGACTCCTAACCTTGGGGGTGATGACATAGACACTGTCTGAACCCCCACCTGCCATATTACCAGGGACCCAGAGCCCATCTTCTGAGTCTGAGGTGAAGGAAGAGTAGGGAGGTAGGGAGAAGTGAAGTGCACTCTCCCCACCAGGTGGGCCTCAACACCAAGACAAAAGGGAGCTGGGGACTGAGAAGGTAGAGGGATCCCTGTCTGCAGGAAGGGAGACCTGGAGGGCTCCTCCTCTCATACCCTTTTATTGGCCTGGCAGAAACTCTCTGTGGCTGTGGGATTTCAAGGTTGGCTGCTTCCAAACCCAAGGAGAGCATTGAGTCCTGCCCTAACACAGCCAAGGAGATGGGAGGCTTGCATCACCCTCCTATAGCTCCAGGCCACTTCCAGAGTTAGAACCTCCACATTGGGTCCAGGGTCGAATAATGCTTTTGAGAGGAGCCCAGGGTCTGGACGTCCTGCAAAATCCTGCAAAATCCTGCAAAGACAACTAGGACAGAAAAGAGAGTAGGGTTGGGGCGGGCCAGCATCCCTGGAGATATCTGTAGCTGCTGTTCCTCATCCCCAGGAGGAAAATGAACCTGTGCTGGGCTGGAGAGCAGGCAGTGGGTGCCCAGCACATCTCTTCAGGACTGAATGAGACCCACCTAAGGAAGCCCCCTTGGCTTGTTTATTACCCCAAAACCCAGTGCCTAGGGACCCGCTATCTAGCCTGGCCTGCTACCAGCTTGCTTGTGTCTTGGAAGATGGCAGTTCGCTTTTCCCAGCGTTTGGAACACCATGACATTTGGCTCTCAGCTAGGGCATAGGACCCCTTACAGATACGGACCCTGGACCCCAAACAGGTACAGCTATGCGGACACAGGGTCAGGTAAATGTCTCAAGGACAGTAGTTCCGTGGGGAGTGTTCATCTGCTGAGAATGACCGCCCCCCTCAGGAGCCCCAGGTCGGCTAGGACCCCCAATGTGGCCACTAGGCCTCTGGCTTCCTCCTGCTCCGGGCCCCCCTGCCCCGAAGCAACCTTGGGTGGTGGGCGGCGGGTGTGGGGATTGGGTGGCAATAAGCGGTGGGGAAGGGATGCAGGGCTCTGGCTGGGTCCTGGCGGGAACGCGCCCCTCCAGCCTGCACCTTTCGGAATAGTTGTGCCCCCAGAGCCCCCCACACTTTCCCCTGGCGTAGTGCCCAAGCCCCCTGACAAGTCAGGCTGCTGCGGCGCGCCCCCGCCCCGTCGTGTCCGCACGTGCGCCAACAAAGGCTGGGAGGCACCTCCCGTCCGCCCGTCCCCCTCTCCCGACTCACCTGAGCTGGGGCGTACGAGCAGGCTGGGGACCAGGGCCCGCGGGCCACACAGCAGCCCTTCAAGCACCGCGCGTCTTAAGAGGCCGCTCATTACACCCGGCCCGCGGGCTCTGACTGAGAGCTGGAGGAGTGCGCGGGAAGGCAGAGAGCAGAGGGAGGGGCGGAGGGAAGAAAGAAAGGGAGGAGGGGCGGAGGGCGGAGGTAAGAAAGAGAGGAGGGGCGGAAGGATAGAGGGAGGGGTGGAGGGAGGAAGGATAAGGTGGGCGGAGGGAGCTCACAGGCGGCAGGTTTCAGGCCCCCTCCCCATCTACCTCCACCCGACTGAACCCACCGCCACCCTACCTTCCGCAGCCCCATCCCGACTGTTCTCCCCATGCAGGGCCCGTGGACATGTATGATGTCAATTTATGTTAAAATCAGAAGAAAAAACATATTAATTATGAACCTAGCATGGATTATATTGATATTTGTACCAAAGCAGTGGTTAAATATTATTGATATCCAGAAAACTACGTATTTAATGTGTACAACTTGGTGAGTTTGAAGATAAGTATATAACCGAAACCATCTTGACAATATATGCCATAAATATATCCATCACCTCCCAAAGTTTCCTGTATTCTTTACCCTCATGGTGGTGGTGATGATGATGATGATGATGATGATGTGTTTGTGTGTCCTTCTTGCTTGTCATTCAGTTCAACTGGCAACACTCTTTTGGTTTTCTTTTATTTAAAAATGCCTTTGTCTTTGTTCTTAAAGGATTTTTTTGCTGGATATAGCATTGTGGATTGACAGTTCTTTCTTTATGCCAGTATCTTTTTAAAGATGACATTTCACTGTCTTCTGACCTCTACTATTTCTGCTAAGAAGTCGTAAGTCATGCCAATTGTTCCACTGAATGTCATTTTTCTCTGGCTGCTTTCAGTATTTTATCTTTGGTTTTCAGTAGTTGACTATGATATATGCCTGGGTGTGGTTTTCTTTGTATTGATTTTTCTTAGGGTTCACTGAGTTGCTTGAATTTGTAAGTTAATGTCTTTCACCAAATTTGAGAATATTTGACTATTATTTCTTCACATTTTTTCTCCCTCCTCTCTTTCCTGATCTCTTGGAACTCTAATTTTAGACATGTTAGACTTTTTTCTTTTTTCTTTTTTTTTTTTTTAACCTCTGCTTAGGTAACTGCAGGGAGGAGCCAGGAAGGGTAGTCTGTTGCTTCTAACAGTATGTACTACTTCTTACTTTTTTGGTTCGAAAATGCCTTTCCTTTATGAAATGATAATAATAGATGGTAGTTGGACTTAAGAAAAATTCTCTTTCACCAAAAAGCTCTTTTGGTAAAATAGAGCTTCAGAAATCCTATGTTCTTCACAAAACTTTTGGAGAATCTATTCCTATGAAACTCAGATGTCTAGGCACCCTGGTCTAGTTTATGCTGACAAATTGGGGCATTAGGACAAAGAGGAAAAGTAACTGTCTGCACCCACCCCTCCCTGCTGGACCACATAAGGTTTGACCCAGCTCCTTCCTTCAGAAAATGAGCCATGGGGTGGGGTGGGGTGGGGTGACAGAACACGGCACATCTATAGAGTTGGAGGCCATGAGCAGACAGAGGGAGGAGTTCCTTCTGACCTAGGGTCCTCACAGGGCCTTGCACACCGGAAGCACTTGGAGGAGTCAGGGTGGGTTATGGAGAACAGGTAGGGTGAGAGAGCAGCCAAGGTGCCTGAGGGCTCAATCATTTCCATAATGTGTACATGGCTGAGTACCTACCTCTAGCTGAAAGGTAAGTGATAGGAGATGAGGCTGGGTCAAGGGCCGTGGCACTACTTGCTTCTGGTAACCAGGAAGGAAAAAATGAAGGAAGGTAGGCTGATTTGAGCAAGTGATGAGGCAGGTGGGAGGGGAAGGGCAGTAAGAGGGAAGAATGGCAGCACTTTTTCCTTTTCTGCCACTGGGTAGATGGAGCGGCCTTGAAGGAGTCCCTAAAATCCAAGTGCTGCACCTCTTCCAACAATTGTTTGGATAAAATTGAATTATAGTGGCTTTTTTTCTTTTTTTCTTTTCTTTTTTGCTTTTGTAAGCCTTCAAAATTTTTAAAGCAAACATAATAATGCTCATTGTGGCCATACACAGACTGTCTATGGGAAAAATTTGTGTCTCCCCATTTCTCTAACAGCCCTCCCCTCTGGTTGGATGGGGAGCACTTCACTTGGTCCATACTAACAGAGCTAGTTAGCAGACTTGAGGGTGTTCCAGTCTGGAAATGGGATGTATCCATGTTATCCAGCAGTTGGATTTTTCCACTTGATTGATATTCCTTCAGAAGACCCACAGACCTTCCTAAAAGTTCTGTAAAAATTCATAGTATATCTATAATTATAATTTATTCACCCATCCCCCTCACAGAGTTCCCAAGTTTCTGTGACTATAAACACTTATGCAGCCAAAACTGTTGTATCTGTCTTTAGATCTTTGTGTTTTCTATTACATATTAATGTTGCCACAGTAACCTTCAAAAGGTTGGGGAGTTCACATTTTCACTAGCAGAGCGTGAGGTGCCAGTTCCCTGCAACTCTAGAAGGCTACCTGTGCTGCTTTTGACAAAGTGTCTTGTTTTAATTTGTATTAAAACATGTTAAACACCAGTGTGATTGAGCAGCATTTCATATGCTTATATGTTGCACGTCATTGGCATCTTTTCTCATCTTCTCCTGTAAACTGCCTGTATATATCCTGTGTCAATTTTTCTTTTGGGTTGTCTTTTTTTCAATGTGTAAGTTTTCTTTCTATCTTAAGTATATTAATTCTTTATCATATACTGAGCATATATTTTCTCCCATTTGTCTTTTGACTTAATTGATGACTTCTATCCTTTTTACTTCCATATTTTTTATACTTACATAACATTTTTAAAAATGTAGCCAAATAAGTAACTTTGGTTACTCCTTCATGGTTTCCCAGTTTCCTGCTTAAGACATTATTTTTCACCCCTGTATTTTAAGGGATGTATTCTAAGTTTTCTTTTAACATTTTAATTTTATTCTTGACAGTTGACCATCTGATCTAGTTGCAATTCATTTTTCTATATGCTGTGAGGTAGGATACAGAACTGTGCATATGCAAGAGCCTCTAGCCAGGGCCCATCCACTCATTGCTGGACCTATTTCCCATCTCAAAATGAAGCCCCTCAAAGTGGGTACTAGGGTTCTTTCCATTGCTAACATTGTTACTTAGCAGAGGTCTCTAGACTCCAGTCCAGGGCTCCCTGTCCATTTACAAGTTCACTAGCACCCCAGATGGAGCAGTGGGGTGGGGGTGTCTGCTGCCTCCCCTCCTACCTGGTAAAGAACTTGAGAACAGGAATCTCACACTGAAGTGACACTTAGGGGATGCCCTTGGAATGAGGAGCCCTGGTAGGGGTATCTCTGAGCCCAGCTTAGGGCAGGGGATGGGGCTTGGGTGGAACAGTCCCCAGTGCTGACCAAAGCTGCTGTCCCCAGCATAACTCTGGGTCAGCGTAATGCACTAAAATCGCAGCTCAGCAAAATCCAGAACTGACCTCTGTCCCTTTAAATTGAGAACCGCAAGAGCCCCCCTGCTGCCAGGGGTGTGGATGGCCCGGTCTGGATTCCAAAGGAACAAAGGATTTCTTGTGCTTCACACCTTGGGCTTCCTTCCTCCTTCGGTCTCCACCCTCCACTCCTCTTCTTTAGCCTTCAATGACCTTGGGCTTGCTGGGTCAGCTTCCCCTCTCTCCCCTCCAATAAACCTTCATCCCCAACCGCAGTATAAAGTTCAAATGGTACAAACAAGTATAGCTCTCCACCTCCTCCCCCAGCTACATGGTTCCCTCCCCCAGGGTCAATCGGTGTCCCTGCTGCTGGATTCTTCCAGTCATTCTATGTCTTTGAAACATGCAAATAAAATGTGTATTTTTTGTTTTTACCACTACAAAAGTGGCAGCTTTTTGAACACATTATTCTGCTCTTTCCTTTTCTGAGCTAAAGCTGAATCTGGTAGGCTGTTTCCAACCAGTACACGAAGCTTTCCAGTTTCCTTCTGCACTTACCCTATCATAATAGGTTTTTTTTGGGGTGGGGGGAGGTCACATCTTCTCAGAGCAATATCATAATAGTTTTTGAATCAGTATAGGCCCATCTCCCCATGACCAAGATCTGAGTGCATGCTGAGTTCACACTTCTGTGAACATCTCCGAAGAGGAATTCCCCAAGGCTCAATAAACATAAGAATATCTGTTGGCTCACAGTCTGGCCCTTCAGGTTTGATCAAACTCTTTGATCCTCACAGATTTGTTAGGTGAAAGAGAAAAAGGTGTCTGGGTGCTTTTTAATTTGCCTTACAAATTCTAAGGAGGGAGATTGAAGCCTGTTCCTATTCATTTGCATTTTTTTCCCAGGAATATTCCCAGATCGTTTTGTATTAGAGGTTATTTTCTAACTGAATTGTAGGAACTCTTTATATTAATCTTATCAAGATTAGTCCTTCGTAATATGAGGTACATGGATGTCCTCCAGAGTTTATGGCTTGTTTTTTGACTTCGCTTAGGTAGTTTTGCTCTGCAGAAAGCTTTGATTTCCATCTAGTTGAATTTCTCAGCCTTGCCTCTAAAGTTTAGGGCCATGTTTAGAAATGCCTTCACCTTTCCAAGACTCTAAACAGCTTACCCAAATCTTCTTCTAGTCCCTGATCGTTTCCTATTTACGCTTAAATCCTTAATGTTTGGGATCTATCCCAGTGTAAAGGGTGAGAATTTAGTCACCAGCTCACTGATGTGAAATTCCCACGTGTACAAAGAGCCTTTTTAACTTTCCATAAAACTGTGTTTTTTTCCACACACTCGTAGATGCTTTGTGGAGTGACAGCCGGAGAGTCCACTTCTGTTAAGTGCATAGCCTGGGCTGGGCTGCCTCTGGCGAGGCAGAAATGAGTGCGTGAGTTGCACGACGGTGGGGGCCGCTCCGCCAGCGCCCCTCCGCCGCCTGCCCTGCTGCGCCTGGCCCACCATTCAGTGAACCCACAGACGCTCGCGTCCGCGCCTCTAGGAAGCATTTGGGACGCTCTGCGCGTCCCCCACCGCCTGAAACCTCTTGCGCATTCTAATTCACGCCCGAAATTCCAGTCTCCTTCTCATCCATCACGCCTTGAATCCCTCTACTTGCATGCGTTGTTCCCCTCAGTCGGCAACCTCTCTTTAACCCATTTTCCTCGCACACCCTCTCCATCCCCACGTCGTCCCCGGCCCCGCGTCTGTCCGCCAGCACGAGTCGCTCGGACCCCACATCGCCCCCTGCCCCGCATCTCCCTTGATACGGTACAGCGTCGGACCCCACATGGAGCTCCCCGCTCCGCCCCCAGTCCCGAGTCGGCTCCCCTACCCACGTCGACCCCAGCCCGCCTCCTCCTTCGGATTTCCTTCCCCCCGCGCCCCGAGCTCTGCGGTCCCCGCGCCCCTAGATCGGATCCCGGCGCGCCGCTCTCCAGTCGGCTCCTGGCGGGGCGGGGCCTCGCAGGC